GGTAGAATTCTTGAGACCGTAAAAACCACCACACATACGTAACACGGTAAGGCTTGAGGTGGCTGTGGGCGAAAGAGAGCCTCACTTTCAGGATCGTACAGCGGGGATCATGGTCACACAACAAACACCTTGAAATCAAACTAAAACAGCTAAACTACTGACGCAGGGCCTGTGGTTGCTATGACCCGTGTCCAAGAGGCCATGCGTGGGTGTGAGGGAGCAAGTGAGCCTGTTAGTGAGGCTCCACATGTCAATCACAACGCCTCTAGCTGCCAGCCACTCCCGACAGTGCTCCCGGACCTTGGGTGCGTTTCGAGCCTCGTGCATGACAAATATCACATCGTTGATGCGACTCTGTGAAGGGTACACCGGCCCAAACCCACCCCCACCGCTGCTGCTGCCGCTGCCAGTGCTGACAGTTGCAGGGGTTGCAGCAGGTGCTGCCAGAATCCCCTGGGTGGTTTGGGGCTGGAAGTGGCCGTGGCGTTCTGCAAGGCCAGGCGCAGCCTGCGACTCGCCACCTTGAAGAGCGCCTTCCTGGAAGGTGGAAGGGATTGGGGGAGCACCAGCATAGGCATGCAAACAAGGTGAGCAGTCAGTGGGGGGATTTAGAATGGAGCAAATGCAGTCATATCTACACGGACTTATGCTAGACACATCTGATACCTGTGGATGAGAGCATGAGCAGGTACAAATCTCTAAAACTAGAAGTCCTACGTAAGTTAACAGACTTACTTATACTAATAAACTCACTTGTGCCCGTTTGGCAGCATGTGAGACGAGCACAAGTGAGTTAATCGGTCGATCTGCTCCTTGGGCACGTGTGCAGAATCCCAGCGCCAGGTGAAATTCCCGCTCCATCAAAAGCTGTCACTTACACATGCCGCCAGTCAGCGTGGGGGGAGAAAGGCAAGAAGGGGAAAGGAATATTGCACATCAGCTAGCAGACAGATCTGCACGGCTGACAGATGCAGGATGGCATTCCCCTCACACACCCAAACACATGACACTTTCCCGTACACTCCCTCACACACCCAAACACATGACACTTTCCCGTACACTCCCTCACACACCCAAACACATGACACTTTCCCGTACACTCCCTCACACACCCAAACACATGACACTTTCCCGTACACTCCCTCACACACCCAAACACATGACACTTTCCCGTACACTCCCTCACACACCCAAACACATGACACTTTCCCGTACACTCCCTCACACACCCAAACACATGACACTTTCCCGTACACTCCCTCACACACCCAAACACATGACACTTTCCCGTACACTCCCTCACACACCCAAACACATGACACTTTCCCGTACACTCCCTCACACACCCAAACACATGACACTTTCCCGTACACTCCCTCACACACCCAAACACATGACACTTTCCCGTACACTCCCTCACACACCCAAACACATGACACTTTCCCGTACACTCCCTCACACACCCAAACACATGACACTTTCCCGTACACTCCCTCACACACCCAAACACATGACACTTTCCCGTACACTCCCTCACACACCCAAACACATGACACTTTCCCGTACACTCCCTCACACACCCAAACACATGACACTTTCCCGTACACTCCCTCACACACCCAAACACATGACACTTTCCCGTACACTCCCTCACACACCCAAACACATGACACTTTCCCGTACACTCCCTCACACACACCCAAACACATGACACTTTCCCGTACACTCCCTCACACACCCAAACACATGACACTTTCCCGTACACTCCCTCACACACACCCAAACACATGACACTTTCCCGTACACTCCCTCACACGCTCCCTCACACACACCCAAAGAAACACGCACTTGTTTGTCCGGAAATCATTACGAGCACCAAACAGCGCCATACTCCAAGGGGCCTTCCTGGCAGCCCCCACCAGAGGCACGCCGCTGCTGTCCCTGCCACACACACGCACATGCACTCTTCCATACACACACCCACTCACTTGTTCGTTCTGCCGTCGCTGGGAGCACCGAACAGCGCCGCGCTCCAAGGGGCTTTCCGGGCAGCCCCCACCAGAGGCACGCCGCTGCTGTCCTTCCCACTGCTCGCCCCCACCCGCACCACCTCCACTCCACCTGCACCTCTGCCAGCCGCTGCAGCTGGAGAAGATCCGCATCCGATATCTTTGCTGTCGCCGCCCGCTGATTGGTGATCAGCGCCAGGCTGGCAGCAGGAGTGCTGGCGGCAGTGTTGCTGCTACTGCTGGTGGTACCTGTTCCAGTTAGACCTGCTCCTCCGGCACCAGTACCACCTGCGCAGGCAGTGCTAGCAGCAGCGCCAGCGCCAGCAGCAGCGGAAGTGGGTCAGCAGAGACGGCGAGTCTCTTGTCGGCAGGTCTGCTGCTGCGTTCTGCCTGGCCTCCATTCTTTTTCCAAAGAGCAGCTGAAGAAAGGGCGTGTGGGAGGAAGAAGAGTCTAGCTAACACATTTGACGGGTGTAATGGCACTTTTAAGAAATCTCAAAATTGATGGCTAGCTCAGTAATGCTGAGTCTGTTCCTCCGTGCTTATATATAAGCGGCAAGGAAGGTAAAGTAGGATGGGAAGCGTGCAAATGGACAATGGCTGAGTATTGATGGTGGAAGGACAGATTGCACCCACCTGTGTCTGCAATTAATATTGGACAGATTATGGATCAAATTCTATGGTGAGTAACCGTTGTCAAGTATTGCACATTTGCACTTTTTGTGAGGCGTTTAAAAGATGGCGAGTGACCATTGTCAAGTATAGCACAGTAACACCATTGCTCCGATCGCAGTAACTCAATCCCACCTGTGCCTGCTGCCTGTGCGTTGCTGCGGTGCGAAGATTAGGCGAGTAGAGAAAGAGCTGGATGCTGCACAGCCTTGTTGCCATGCAGTCCCTGGCTAACAGCTGATGGAAAGAGGAGAGGGGAGGCGGGTGGATGGGGTGAGAGCGGAGAGGGAAGAGGAAGGGAGGTAAGCACTGGGATCAGGAAGCGGAAGAGCTGGATGCTGCACCTCCCCCTGCTGCCACGCAGTCCCTGGCTAACAACTGATGGAGGTAGAAGAAGGGGCCCGGGTGGAGGGGGTGAGAGCGGCGGGGGGAGGGAGAAGGAGGAAGAGATGGATGCTGCACAGCCCCCTGCTGCCACGCAGTCCCTGGCTAACAACTGATGGAGGTAGAAGAAGGGGCCCGGGTGGAGGGGGTGAGAGCGGCGGGGGAAGGGAGAAGGAGGAAGAGATGGATGCTGCACAGCCCCCTGCTGCCACGCAGTCCCTGGCTAACAACTGATGGAGGTAGAAGAAGGGGCCCGGGTGGAGGGGGTGAGAGCGGCGGGGGGAGGGAGAAGGAGGAAGAGATGGATGCTGCACAGCCCCCTGCTGCCACGCAGTCCCTGGCTAACAACTGATGGAGGTAGAAGAAGGGGCCCGGGTGGAGGGGGTGAGAGCGGCGGGGGAAGGGAGAAGGAGGAAGAGATGGATGCTGCACAGCCCCCTGCTGCCACGCAGTCCCTGGCTAACAACTGATGGAGGTAGAAGAAGGGGCCCGGGTGGAGGGGGTGAGAGCGGCGGGGGGAGGGAGAAGGAGGAAGAGATGGATGCTGCACAGCCCCCTGCTGCCACGCAGTCCCTGGCTAACAACTGATGGAGGTAGAAGAAGGGGCCCGGGTGGAGGGGGTGAGAGCGGCGGGGGAAGGGAGAAGGAGGAAGAGCTGGATGCTGCACAGCCCCCTGCTGCCACGCAGTCCCTGGCTAACAACTGATGGAGGTAGAAGAAGGGGCCCGGGTGGAGGGGGTGAGAGCGGCGGGGGGAGGGAGAAGGAGGAAGAGATGGATGCTGCACCACCACCACCATGCTGTTCCCGCAGCTAGGCTATTGAACAGCGTTGGCAGAGACAGAAGGCACCGCAAGACGCAGGCTCACTAATGGGCTGGGCAGGGTGTGCTGTGGCAGTGAAATCGGGTTATGGGACTTGACTCCTTCGCGAGGAGTCAGAAGAGGAAGTGGACGCAGAGGAAGGGGCGAGGGAGGCTTACAAGGAATCGGAAGAGGAAGTGGAGGTCCTTAAGGATTCGAAGAAAGTGCAGATGCGAGAGAGAGCCGCCAGGCACTTAACATTGCCACTCACCCAAGCTGTGGCGATGCTGCTGCTGCTGTGACTGACAGATATATCACCACCAGCAGCACCATCATTCGCACCTCCTGCTCCTAGCGCCTCTGCCACCGATCTTTCCAGCACCCCAACAGCTCCGTACGACACACGTAGTGCGCACAGCTCTTCTACAGTAGCGTAATCTGACTTTGACGGATCCTAGTCTAATAGCGAGGACAGGGAGGGCCGAGCCAGGCTGAGGGATAAAGTGGGTGGCTGAGGGGCCAGAGGGTTTGGGAGAGTGGCAGTGGCGGTTTTGCTGTTGGTGCTGCAGTTGGTGCTGTTGTGCTTGGGTGTGGATGAGAGAGAGCGTGGGGAGGAGGAGGAAGGGTGGGGATGAGGAGGAGAAAGGGTGGGGACGAGGAGGAGAAAGAGGGGGGAGGAAGATGAGCCAGCAGGCGGAGCGATAGCGACCGTGTCTGAACATGAAGGGGAGGAGACCCCGACGGGCATGCTGCAAGGGAGAAAGAAGGGCAGAGCCGCAGATTGCAAGCCAGGCAGGCAGGTATGAGTGTCGGGAGAGATGAACAGGAGCCAAGCTGCTTGGGTAATCAATCAGGTCAGACTCTGTTCAACACTTTAACAAGAAGAGCAATGCTTAGGTGCCAAAGAAGAGCCACTCAGAGTACAATCAACCAAGTCGTTGACACCAGGCATGCAGAAACACAAAACAATGGCAAGACTTTGAAACCAGGTGCCACAGAAGAGCCACTCAGAGTACAAGTGACTTGAGCTGCTGAACAAGATCAACCAAGTCGTAGACTGCAGGCATGCAGAAACACAACACGATGGGAAATCAAAGAGAACACAAAATCGCAGTCACTCACTCTCTTGAGCAAATGAGTGCACCTCATCAAATTACGAAAACGTCTCCCTCTCCTCATCCTCCACCACTGCAACCCCTTCCCCCCGTCCCAACTCTCTCCGTCCCGATTCTCTTCTCCCCTTCCCTAATCTCCCCGTCACTACACTTCCCGCCCCTAACATCCTTGTCCCGACTTTCCCCGTCCCTATTCTCCCCATCCCTACACTCCCCGTCCCTACTCTCCCCGTCCCAATTCTCTCCGTCCTTACACTCCCGTCCCTGCTCTCCCCGTCCCTACTATCCCCGTTCCTACTTTCCAAGTCCCTACTCTCCCCGTCCCTACTCTCCCCGTCCCTACTCTCCCCGTCCCTACTCTCCCCGTCCCTACTATCCCCGTCCCTACTCTCTCCGTCCCTACTCTCCCCGTCCCTCCTCTCCCCGTCCCAATTCTCTCCGTCCTTACACTCCCAGTCCCTGCTCTCCCTGTCCCTACTATCCCCGTCCCTACTTTCCCAGTTCCTACTCTCCCCGCCCCTACTCTTTCCGTCCCTATTCTCCCCATCCCTACACACCCCGTCCCTATTCTCCCCGTCCCTACTTTCCCAGTTCCTACTCTCCCCGTCCCTACTCTCCCCGTCCCTACTATCCCCGTCCCTACTCTCCCCGTCCCTACTCTTAACGTCCCTACTCTCCTCGTCCCTTCTCTCCCCATCCCAATCCTCTCCGTCCTTACACTAACAGTCCCTGCTCTCCCCGTCCCTACTATCCCCGTCCCTACTTTCCAAGTTCCTACTCTCCCCGCTCCTACTCTTCCCGTCCCTATTCTCCCCATCCCTACACACCCCGTCCCTATTCTCCCCGTTCCTTCTCTCCCTGTCCCTACTCTCCCCGTCCCTACTCTCCCCGTCCCTTCTCTCCCCGCCCCAATTCCCTCCGTCCTTACACTCCCAGTCCCTACTCTCCCCGTCCCTACTATCCCCGTCCCTACTCTCCCCATCCCTACTCTCCCCGTCCCTTCTCTCCCCGTCCCAATTCTCTCCGTCCTTACACTCCCAGTCCCTACTCTCCACGTCCTTACTATCCCCGTCCCTACTCTCCCCGTCCCTACTCTCCCCGTCCCTACTCTCCCCGTCCCTACTCTTCCCGTCCCTATTCTCCCCGTCCCTACACACCCCGTCCCTTCTCTCCCCGTCCCTACTCTCCCCGTCCCTACTCTCCCCGTCCCTACTCTCCCCGCCCGTTCTCTCCCCGTCCCAATTCTCTCCGTCCTTACACTCCCAGTCCCTGCTGTCTCCGTCCCTACTCTCCCCGTCCCTACTCTCCCCGTCCCTATTCTCTTCTCCCCGTCCCAACTCTCCCCGTCCCTACTCTCGTCGTGCATACTTCCATCGTCCCTATTTCCTTCCGCCTGCCTATTTCCCGTACCACCTCGCATCACTCTGTGCCACCGCAGTCCCGCGCATCCCTCCATCAGTGGGGGCGGCCGCCAACAGTGCTCGCGCGTGAATGCGCGCATCTCACCCGCCTCGTCACACGCACACCTGCCGCTTCAGTTCCGCCCACGCGGCTGCAGGCGCGCTTGGCGGAAGGGCGGTGGGCGCACGCCAGGCGAGGCGCGCAGCACTGACGTGCACCGCGCGACGTCGCTGCCACCGTGACTGGACCAGCGCGCACCAACCATTCTTCCCAACGAAACTGGCCCTAGTCGATCGTAACTCCTAACCTAGTCGCTGGTTCTTCACTCAAAAGAATGCGCTGCCCGCTGTTCCCCCACGTCGCCCGCGATCTGCTGCTGTGCTCGCCATGAGCATGAAGCTACGCTTGCTAGGAGCGGGCTTACGGTTGCATAATAAATAAAATGCCAGAGTACGCAGAATTAGTGAATATCGAGAGTGAGTTTACAAATAGAGTGACGCTACACTTGAAATGAGGGAATGATACAGGGGAAACCTAGCTAGGCGAGGACCTTGGGAAAACAAGGCTCGGAAGTGTGGCGAATGGTGCGGGGGCGACTCGGGGGTGGTTTGGGGCGAGGTTGAATGCCGAACCAGCTGACGCGAGATTGTCGGAGAATGTGCGACTGCAATAATATATTTAAAACCCGCAGCCTGAATTACAAAAACGAGTCAACGCTTGGTTTGGGAAGAGGTTGGGGAGAGAGCCGGTTGGTTGGGTGACACTTTTGGGGTGGCGAAACCAATTTGCGAACACACAAGTGTCGCAACATAGAATCTGGGCGACGGAAACCAATACAATGAGGGAGGGATGTGACCTACAGAACCTCCGTCGACAAAAAACCAGCACACCATTACTAGCTACTAACTTAGACACGAAAGTATCGAATCTTAGTGTCCTCCAAGCGGCAGCACACAAATTCAGTAGCTACATTGCGCGAACATTCTTACATTAGGGTTTTATTGCGAACACATTTCAGACAACCGGAATCCCTAGGTGCAGCGTGGCCACGCTGTCGAAGCACGGAGCAAATAGGCGTGAGGAGACGAGAAATTCGCGCTTTGCCCCCCTGTGCTGACCCTCGCCCATCGCCCTTGCCCTGCCCGCCCACCGCCCGTCGCCCTCGCCGCCTAGCCGCCCGTCGACCTCGCTTCCCTCGCCCATCGCTCTCGCTTTCCCCGCCTACCACCCTCGCCTCGCCTGTCCCCCTCGCCGCTTCCCCGCCCGCCGCCCTCGCATCCGCCCGTCACCCGCCCTTCTGCCCGTCGCCCTCCCTTCCGCCCACCGTCCTTCCTTCCCCTCGTCGCGCTCCCTTCCGCCCGTCGCCCTCCCTTCGTCTCGTCGCCCTCCCGTCCTCCCGTTGCCTTCCCTTCCGCCCGCCGCCCTTCTTTTCCCTCGTCGCGCTCCCTTCCCCCCGTTGCCCCCCTTCGTCTCGTCGCCTCTCTGTCGCTCGTCGCCCTCCTTCCCGCTCGTCCCCTCGCAATCCCCGTCTCTCTCTCCCCCCGTCGCCCTCTCTTTCCCCGTCGCCCTCCCATCCACTCCTCGTTGTCCTCGCCATCCCTCCCTTCTCCCTTCTCATCTCGCACACTTGTCACGCCCCCTTTCCCACCTGCACATGCACCCTTCCCATTCCCGAATAATCGCCTTTCACCCCCACACTGCATACATCTCTCCCTTTTCCCCCCATCAATCGCCCTGCTCCCCACCGTCCTCCCCCCAGCTCTCTCCCCGGCATCTCCCTCGCTCCCCACGTCCCCTTCCCTGCTTCCCCCCATCCCCTTCCGTGCTTCCCCCATCCCCTTCCCTGCTTCCCCCCATCCCCTTCCGTGCTTCCCCCCGTCCCCTTCCGTGCTTCCCCTCATCCCCTTCCGTGCTTCCCCCCATCCCCTTCCGTGCTTCCCCCTGTCCCCTTCCGTGCTTCCCCCCATCCCCTTCCCTGCTTCCCCCCATCCCCTTCCGTGCTTCCCCTCATCCCCTTCCGTGCTTCCCCCCATCCCCTTCCGTGCTTCCCCCATCCCCTTCCGTGCTTCCCCCCATCCCCTTCCGTGCTTCCCCCCATCCCCTTCCGTGCTTCCCCCCCATCCCCTTCCCTGCTTCCCCCCATCCCCTTCCGTGCTTCCCCCAATCCCCTTCCGTGCTTCCCCCCATCCCCTTCCGTGCTTCCCCTCATCCCCTTCCGTGCTTCCCCCCATCCCCTTCCGTGCTTCCCCCCATCCCCTTCCGTGCTTCCCCCCGTCCCCTTCCGTGCTTCCCCCCATCCCCTTCCCTGCTTCCCCCCATCCCCTTCCGTGCATCCCCCCATCCCCTTCCGTGCTTCCCCTCATCCCCTTCCGTGCTTCCCCCCATCCCCTTCCGTGCTTCCCCCCATCCCCTTCCGTGCTTCCCCCTGTCCCCTTCCGTGCTTCCCCCCATCCCCTTCCGTGCTTCCCCCCATCCCCTTCCGTGCTTCCCCCCGTCCCCTTCCGTGCTTCCCCTCATCCCCTTCCGTGCTTCCCCCCATCCCCTTCCGTGCTTCCCCTCATCCCCTTCCGTGCTTCCCCCCATCCCCTTCCGTGCTTCCCCCCATCCCCTTCCCTGCTTCCCCCCGTCCCCTTCCGTGCTTCTCCCCATCCCCTTCCCTGCTTCCCCCCATCCCCTTCCGTGCTTCCCCTCATCCCCTTCCGTGCTTCCCCCCATCCCCTTCCGTGCTTCCCCTCATCCCCTTCCGTGCTTCCCCTCATCCCCTTCCGTGCTTCCCCCCATCCCCTTCCGTGCTTCCCCCAATCCCCTTCCGTGCTTCCCCTCATCCCCTTCCGTGCTTCCCCCCATCCCCTTCCCTGCTTCCCCCCATCCCCTTCCGTGCTTCCCCCCATCCCCTTCCGTGCTTCCCCCCGTCCCCTTCCGTGCTTCCCCCCATCCCCTTCCGTGCTTCCCCCATCCCCTTCCGTGCTTCCCCCCGTCCCCTTCCGTGCTTCCCCCCATCCCCTTCCCTGCTTCCCCTCATCCCCTTCCGTGCTTCCCCCCATCCCCTTCCGTGCTTCCCCTCATCCCCTTCCGTGCTTCCCCCCATCCCCTTCCGTGCTTCCCCCCATCCCCTTCCCTGCTTCCCCCCGTCCCCTTCCGTGCTTCTCCCCATCCCCTTCCCTGCTTCCCCCCATCCCCTTCCGTGCTTCCCCTCATCCCCTTCCGTGCTTCCCCCCATCCCCTTCCGTGCTTCCCCTCATCCCCTTCCGTGCTTCCCCTCATCCCCTTCCGTGCTTCCCCCCATCCCCTTCCGTGCTTCCCCCAATCCCCTTCCGTGCTTCCCCTCATCCCCTTCCGTGCTTCCCCCCATCCCCTTCCCTGCTTCCCCCCATCCCCTTCCGTGCTTCCCCCCATCCCCTTCCGTGCTTCCCCCCGTCCCCTTCCGTGCTTCCCCCCATCCCCTTCCGTGCTTCCCCCCATCCCCTTCCGTGCTTCCCCCCGTCCCCTTCCGTGCTTCCCCCCGTCCCCTTCCCTGCTTCCCCCCATCCCCTTCCGTGCTTCCCCCCGTCCCCTTCCGTGCTTCCCCCCATCCCCTTCCGTGCTTCCCCTCATCCCCTTCCGTGCTTCCCCCCATCC